CCCCTATGTACAATGTATTTTCATTTTAACTTTAATGAAAAAATAAAAAAATTTAAATAATAAAATTAAACTTTTAAAATACTAAATATTTCACGGTTCTGGTTCATGGTTTACTCACGATTTCACGGTTCATTACCGGTTCTGATTTACAGTTTACGATTCATTACCGGTTCCGGTTTCACGGTTCATGGTTCACCGTTCATTTACGGTTCTAATTCACCGTTCATACACTGTTTTGGTTCACGGTTCACTCACGGTTTCGGTTCACAGTTCATTCCTGATTCTAGTTCACCAATTCCTTCACAGTCTGGTCCGGTTAAAAAAAAATATGAATCTTAACTGGACCACGATCCTTCACAGTTCAGAATCGGACCAGGTCGAATATTGATGGTTTGGTCTGATCTAGTCCGGTCCGATATTTTTTCCCAATCTCAGTCGGGCCAGTTCACGGTTCGAACCTGAACCGTGAACAGGACTAATCACAATCTCCTTCACTTAAGTAGTTGACATTCTTATTAATTCACAAATTTCATATTCATATTTAAACCAATAGGTCTAAACATTGTTTTTTTAACTCTAATTTCATTTATAATGATCGAGAACTAGTAAATCTAGCAATTTGTTCTGCTTGAATCACGAGACCAAAATACTTAAATTTAAGTTGTTCATAGTAGCCTCTTATTTCTTATATATTATATTATATCACTATCAAAAATGATGTGAAACAACTAGAGAAAGAAATTAGGCTCATATTTTATGCTTTTTAGAAACAATTTCTTGTTTATAGAAGCAGACAACCTGTGTTTGCAATTTGTTTTTGAAAATTACTTTTTTCAGAAAATAAGTCAATTTTAAGGAAAACAACAAAAAAGTTGATTTTCAGAACCCAAAAAGCTATTTGTTATTAATGAAAAAAGGAGAAAATAAAATAAAAATTAGAACTTTAAAATTAAAAATATTTAAATACTCATACTTCTATCATAACTGATAATTATAGTTATTAATTATCAGGTGACTAATTATAACGGTTCGAGAGTTGTTAAATTTAATACATTGTTAAGTGTAAACCACTATCCCATATACTTAGCCTCAAATTATTTAATAGTAGTCTTTAATTTCTGATATATTATATCATATTACTCTCAGAAATCGATATAAGATGAGATATCATAATATTTCCTATTTAAATAATTAATATTCTCGTTAAGTCATAAATCCATATTCATATATATACTAAACAGGTCTAAAGATTATTTTTTGCTCTAATGCTATTTGTAATGATTTGAGAATTACTAAATCTAGCAATTTGTTAAATTTAAATCCTTTACTCAAAATATTTAAACACAAATTATTTAATAATATTTCTAATCTCTTTATACTATATTATATCATCCTTAGAAATTAATATGAGACGGCATACTATACCAAATTATCAATTTTGGTACAAATGAAACCCAGCATGTTATCATGTCAGCAATAAGTACAGACCAACTTCTTGCCTGCAGCAAGCATCCTATGCGGCAGAAATGCCAATAAAAAGGTAAATTTTAAATGATTTTATGGTAAATTCCAACTATATTCGGAGGCCTTGTATGGTTTTATGAAAAAAAAATGATTTTTTTTCAATAAGACAAACATATTTTGAATGTTTTGTTTTCATAGCAAGAAGGCAAAAGGATGACTTCTATGCAAATTTTTTATTTTAGCACAGAGTAAGTTATTTTTTTATGTAAATCAAATTTAATAAGAATAAACTTTTACATAAAATCTAAATCCAAAAAAAAAATGATTTAACAACAAACATTCCCATAAGTCAGTCTCACTTCCTCTTCTGTTACCATAAGCTTTCAGATTTTATAGATTAGAAAAAGAGTTAAGAAATTAAAGTTTTGGCCAATTTTGGTAACTTAAGGAAAAATTAGGTACTTTTTTTTGGTTTGATTGCTAAAAAGGGTTATGCCTGTAGAGGTGGCAAATGGTATTTTTATAGGAGTTTGACCTAAGGTTTGGAGGTTATAACCCGTTTGGATGGTTTTTTTTAAAGATATTTTTTATAAAAATAATTTATGGTTTAAAATTGACTGTTTATATTAAGATTATTAAAAAAAGTAGAATCAAAAAAGTCAAATTTCTACTTCTGTTAAGAAATTAGTACCACTAATTTCTGGATTTAACATTTTATAATAAAAGAGAGAGAAATGCACTAATTCATACTAAAAATAGAGAGAGATGAGTTTCTAACCTCCACGAGATATCTCTTCTCTACCAAACGCTACATCTCCGACCAACATTCTCTCTCATCTTGGATTTCCACGATCTTGGTGATCTCGATGCGAATTGATGACATCAATCAACTTGATATATTGTAAGTAAACATCGACTACCAATGTGACAATCATGGCGATGTGACAATCATGGCGATGTTCGTAAGTGCTGTTTTAGTTGTTAATGTGATGGTCTTTGACAAAACTATGTTGTAGGCAAAAAATTTCGGAAGAAAATTATGTTTAATGATTTTATATCCAATATTATGGAAACATAAAATAATTTTTATTTTTGTAAAATCACTTTTATTAAAAATTTTTTAAAAAATCTTTTCCAAATATACCCTTAAATGAATTCTAATTTTATTTAGACTAATTTTGTGAATTTATGCTAAGATCATATGATCCTAAATGCTTGCTATATTACTAAAAAGATAATGCATTCACTATATGCTGTTTCTTCAAATGAAATAAATATTTTACATTTTCTTTTTAGAAAGGCTTACTATCTCACAATTGTGACCAAATGACCAAAAAAGCCACCGCGATCCTTTGTTGTGAGTGACCCAGTACAATTTATCACGCCCAATTTTTAAAATTTAAGTATTTTTAAAATACAATAAAAATACAGTAACGAGAGAGTAGGCATGTTAATTGCTGTTTTCATCAACTCTTCTGGGTTTGGCCAAGCCCATCCGTCTTGCCTATCCCTGGATTGGAATTTGGAATAGTTTACACGGGAATTAGGATATTCGGATCTGCGTAAGCCTGTCGCTCGCCCAAATGCAGCTGTACGCTAGTTAAGCTGAACGTTAGAGCCACGTCGGGTGGAAGGGAGAAAATTGACTAGGATTGAGAGAGAGAGAGAGAGAGAGAGATGAAGCTGCTAGGATGGTGGTTGATGCTGGTGGGCTCGCTTCGGTTGGCGTCGGTATGGTTCGGTTTCTTCGATATATGGGCTCTTCGACTCGCTGTCTTCTCCAAGACCACCAGTAAGCTCTCACCCCTATGTTACATTGTTCTTGTACAAACACGTATTCGTATATATGTACATATAAAAACGTGAGTGTATACTCATTCTGCTCTCATTTGGGAACAAATTGCTAATTGCTATGGGGATTCTAATTGCATATAGATCCAATGAATGATTTTCATATATAGAGTTGGGCAAGATCCCAAATATGTCGGAATCCCTTCATTCCCGGAATGAAGCAATCTCAAGAAGAAACTTTTACTGGAAAAAATTGCCTATGAATTCTCCCGAAGCTTTCTCTTAGTTTTCTATCTCTATTGGTAATTTGTACGTTGAATGTCCATACTTCTGCCAATGGATCTGTATGGGGTCCTAGAATTAAGTTTGGGATGAGAAAGCAATTGATCAGTTGAAGAATCCATTTCATCATTGATGAGTTTGGAGCAACTTCATACTAAAATCATTCCACTTTGCCCAATTTGCTTAAATATGCTAACGTTTCCATTAAATATAATTTGTTAATGAAAAAGAGGCCCTGCTTTTTATTGTGGTATGGAGAGTGTTGGATTTATGACTAGTATTGTCATGGGTGATGCTTGAAACTGGAATTGATTGCATTTGTGTGGTAAAACTTAGAGAGAGAGCTTGCTATTCTTTTTGTACATGATACATGAACATACATATCCGAACCCTTATAGCCATTTCTTTTGAGGATGCTCTTCTAAATGATGGATGATGCTTATAAATGGCTGCATTTCCACGTTATGCCAGATTAACTGGCTTCTTGTACTATGATTGCTAGAGATCCTAGGATGAAGGCAATTGGACCTGTCTTATCCTTTGTCAAAAATAGCAGGCTGATTAATTTGATATTATCTAGTCTAGAATATGTTTATTCTTGCTGAAGACCATGGCAGACAAGAACTATTTTCAATCTTCTTTTTCTTTATGGGGAATATGATGTAGCTTTGAGAAGCTGACTTCTATTGTCTAATTATAATCCTTATTTCCCCTTATTCTTTATTATTGCAGTGACTGAAGTTCATGGAAGAACGTTCGGAGTGTGGACACTATTAACTTGCACACTCTGTTTTCTTTGTGCATTTAACCTTGATAACAAGCCACTTTATCTGGCCACGCTTTGTCTTTTGTCTATGCCTTTGGTCACTTCCTGACAGAATACGCAATATATCAGACAATGGCAATTTCTAATCTGACAACTGTTAGCATCTTTGCAGGTAGCTTTCATTTTCTTGCAAAATCCACCAATCTTTCAATTCTATTTGGATTATACAATTGTTCTCTTTGATATAAAATTGTCTCTCTTTTTTCTGGATTTCTTTGTATTGAATTGTTTACTTCCCACAACTGGATTACTGCCCTGTTGAATATTGTATTTAGTTTGGGAATCATACAAAATGATTCTGACTGTATGTATTCTTTATTGAAATTTCTGGTCATTCAACATGGCTAAAGCCTCTGATCTGTTCAAAATTACACCAATTTTTAGAATTTGGGTCTGTCCTGTGTTAATCCAAATTAATTCAACAATCACTACATGGATCTTTTTCAAAACTTCAAGCCAAAGCACTAGCTCTCGCAATTTAGTGACATTTTAGACTTTTCCACTGCTAATTGTCTATATGTTTTGTGGTAAATCTTGTATTTCACATCAGTCTTGGACGTAGAAATGTAAGTATAACATAAAGAAGAAACAATATTTACAAACCCTTTTTCTACTAGAAGCTTTTTCTTTACCAATTCCAGCCCAAGGTTTTCTGGTTAATGAAAAACCAATCATCAACTAGCTTTTTGTTTGTAATGTTGGGGTGTGCTTACTTTTCTTAGTCTTTGCATGTTATTTGTATGTTATTATGATTATTGGCTTGAATTTTATGTTTCTAGTCTTTCATCTTATCTTAAGGCTACCAACTAGACACTTATCCCATTTTGAGCTAAATCTTCTAGCATCACTGGTCTTTGGTAGAGTTTCTGTTTTCCTGTCTCTTCTTGGCTGTTCATGGAAGTTTGACAAGCCCATTTGAGGATTTCTTGGCACAATTTATAATGCTAGTTATTGTTTGTTTTAAATGCTTTGTTGTTCATAGTTTGGTGTATGCTTGTAATTTGGTTGTTTTAAGTAAAAGATGATTAGCAAATTAAGCCCCCTGAAGACTATGAAGAGTTATTACTTGTAATATATACTTAAATTTTGGTCAGTCAGCTCACTAACATACAACTCCATCTGTCTCTCTTTCTCTCTCTTTCTCATATGTAGAACTATTTGTGTTCATATGTCAGTTCTGGACTTCTCTTTTTCTGATACTAGTGGCGATTAATGTTTGCTTGTACATTTTTTGCAATTGTTCTCATCATTTCGCAAATTAACAGAACTTAATTGATTAACTTTCATTAGAAGCTGACACCCATTGTTTTTCTTTATCAGGCACATCCATAATATGGATGTTGTTGCAGTGGAATATGCATCAGCGGGTCCTTGTTAAGCATTCTTGAAAGTGAAATGATGCATTTACCAGTGCTAAGTTTCCTTTCTTGTATTTAAAATTCCAGCATGTCTCAATGTTTCCGTTGGACTTTCTTGCTAAACTTCAATGAGTCTGAATTTATTGGTAGACTATCAACTTTTGGTGGACAAGTTTGTGATAGGTTTGACATTTGATTCTTTTGGTACCAGTTAAGGATACCCGGAAGTCAGTCCACTCTTACTTTGTAGTGCGACTAAGCAATTTTGGTTTTGGAACATCTTGGTGTTCACTTTGAAGAATTCCTTTGTGCTTCCACAACTGGTGAAAATGGCAAAGTTAGCTCGGTTGCACTTCAGTTTCAACACGAGAATGCCTTGTTAGAACCAATGAATAATATTTTCAAGTCATTTTCATGAGTCAGGGCATTGGAACAAGAAAAAGCCAACTTTTCTGAGACCCCCCCCCCCCCCCCCCCTCTCTTTCTCTCTTTCTACTTTACTTTTCAAAGACATGAAGAATTACCCTGGTCTACCCAAATGTTTGGATTGGTATTCTGTTCTCTGTGTTTCTCCTCCTCCACCCCCCCCCCCCCCACACACACACAAAAGAAAAGGGATTGAAAATCTTGAATACTCTATTGTTTTCATATTATCCTTTTTATTTTTTCTGAGCAAAGATTAGTCTCTCTATTCTGTTATTTTCTATTCTGAAAATTATCCTGAAAATAGTTTCTGAAACAACCTGACAAATGGCATCCAGAACAAATCCAAATAGCATTCTTCCTAATTTATGAAGCAAACAAATAGAAAGTAAAAAAACCACCTCAGATTTTTGAGAAACCAAACCTAGTAACTGCACAAAACCAAGGTTCATCTATCCTCCAGCCACCCGTGGTGACTGGGTAGCACGGACCATTGGATAGCTTAAGTGAGGTCTAATTCAGATGAGCAGCTCAAACACATGCTTTGAATGTGCATCATCAGTCTAGCAAAAGTTGCTTCACAAGCAAATGAAAAACCTCATGATGGTCTGAACAGCTTTTTGGCTTATGCTCTCTGGCGTCAGAAGTCTACAAGAGTTACAATACTCCGATTTCTAGAGTCCTTAAGTTTAAAGCTAATGTACAAGTGTAGAAGGCCAAGCGACCTAAATGGGGAGTTAGGTAAAACTGGTTTCAATAAAGATAGCAAGATGCCAAGGCCTTATAGCCAACGTTTTTAGAAGGCCAAGTATGTGTCATAGCGAAGAAAAGGACAAGCTGTAGCATTGAGCATTAGTGTAAGAAGCAACAGAAGTTAATTTAGAACAAGAACAGGAGAAACTGTGTATTGTATATTACCAGAAAACCTGTACAAAGGAGCCTTGAGATAGGCCTGCTGTAAGGTAACAAGGGAAATAATACAAAGGAATATAATCAATTCCTACAAATCATGCGACTGATTCTCTAACACTTTTTATGCTAGTGTCTAATCCTTTCACCGCAAATACGGAGTTAACATAACATCCATGACATTCACCATATGTATACGTCGTCCTTGAACTGAAAACACTGCCAATAAACCTTCTCCACACTGCTATCCAAGGTAGAGGATTACCGATGAAGTGATGGGGTAGCATGCTAGTCTTCTATTAATGGCATGGAACCAAGTAGAGCCATGGAATAGCCAAGGTTTATGCCGGGCCAATCAGAAGTTGCCACATCTAAATAGACAGATCAGAAAGAACCCACTTCCCATCAAACTGCCGGTGATCTGAGCTCTGGAGCATGATATGGTGCCCATGTGGCATTCTGATATGGCAAAGCTGAACTATATGCCTACAGAAGTTATACATTTGCATTTAAGCATGAACAACTTCCTCATGTATTAACTGGTTTGACCGTACAATTGGGAAGCTCCAACTGCTTCCCAAGCTTTGACATATCCTCAGACTCCTGCATATTTTTGTAACTTCCACATGGCAGGAGTGAAAAAATAAATAGGATTGCAGGGAGTCTGGCAGTTTTTATACCAAAAAAATTATCAACCATGTGTTGGATGACATCAGCCCCATCGGAGTTCATACGGTAGCTGTTTACCTGAACAAAGCCAGTCATGGAAAATGTTATTCAAGGTTCAAGCATCAATTATAAGTCATGTCATTACCTGAAACAGACACACAGATCAGAACACAATTGTTTTGCATTCATACGTTGACATCACACATGATCATAGTTGCGTTCTGGGCTGGACATGAATAGAAACCAATTCATTTTTGACCTCCAAGCCCTCTTCTTCTTCTTCCAACACCCCCCCCCCCCCCCCCGGGTTATTTAAGGAATCCTATTTTTATGCAATTTTGATGTGGAGAAAGAAGAAACTTGCCTGAATAGTATTATGTGCCCAGAATCTCTGTTTGCTTCCCCCAAAGTCGACATCAACCTTCTCCCAGCTCATTTTTGTGAGTCCCCTGATCATTGCCTCTGCAATATACCAATAAGGAAAAGTGATGAATGATTTAGAAATGAAGTTTTAACAATAGAGAATTAGTAAACCAACCTTCCATATTAGTAGTCTTGAATCTATTCACTTTAGGATCTAAACATGTTTCTTCTCGAGTGTCTGCAGCTTTTGCATATTCCACATTTATAACATGTGGGTATTTGTCACTTCTCGAGAGAGTTTTGCGCTGTAAAAAAAAATGTAATAGTGAGAATATTTGAAAAGGCAATTCAGAAGCTTTAGTGCGGTTCAACCACACAGACATTTTTCAACTACATGGGGTCTATGTTCCATTCTATTCTATCAAAAGCCATGGTTGCAGGCAAGCCCCACAAAGCTCTATATTACCTTTGGAAGCTCACTTCGGCGCCTCAGAGATGATGTACTCCGTCCAACAAGAACTACGTGAGTGAGTCAAGTTCTTCAAATAAACTAGTGGATTCGAAGTCACTATGATTTGGATGATGGACACATTCAAGCACCAATTCTTTTTGTAAGATAAAAAGTATATTCAAATGGGAATATAGAACAGCACAAGGTGCATGATAGGATACAATCAAAACGTGTGTTTGAGTAGGCAACACGATGCCTGAAGGACTGTAAGGCAGATCTGCAGAGACAAAGATGGTATCAGTATGTCCTACATTATTTGCAATGAAAGAAATTTCATCGAGTCAAGATCTAGTAAATTCACAAGGTCTCACATAAATTTTAGATCATCACTATCACTGGCCATCTTAAGTAGAAGGGGAGGTTTTTTCTTATTGCCGTCCTTCAGAAACAAATGCTTCCCTGATCTTCCAAGAAGCCATGATGCACGTGCTGCTGCCTTTTCCAGTGTGTAAGAACCACAGAATGCTGGGGCCTAAAAACCACAAAATTATTTTAAGTCCAAATTGCCAAACAAACAAGCAATCCTTTCCATGAGCAAACACCTCTTGAGTAAGGAAGAAAAATGATATTTGCACTTAAAATAAATTTAAAAAGAAAAAAAAAAAAGAGGAGGAGAAGAAAAAGAAAAAGAAAAGGTCAAAGAATTGCTTTAGTTGGTGCTTAGACCACATCTAAAACGAAAGAAAGAGATAATCTGAGATTAAACAAACACCTGTTTATGACCCCTTGATCCAAGATGGGGGTTGCAGAGGTTATAAAGTTCATGGGCTCTAGTCCAGCAATTCTGCCTTTAAATTCATCATGTCTACATTCACCATCTCCTTCAGAATATAGCTTAGCAATAGCAAACCGTGCAATCAGGCCACCTAGTGAGTGGCCTATGAAGGATATCTTCTGAAGGCCTGGATAACGTTTTATAACAGAGACTACCTGAAAGAAGCAATATTGGTTAAAGTTCCAAGCTCACTGCGTCACACACTAGGCATTGAACCCTAAATGATATAGCAATTAGCAACAGAATCTATATCTAAAATAAATGAAAATCTGACTGAACCATGCATAGAGGATGTAAAACAACCGACGTTTTGAAGATGGAATAACACACCTCATCTGCTAATCGGCTTCCCATTTTATCAACACCTTGAAATGTGAGTGTTGAAGAATTACTTTCACTGCCTGGACATGAAAATTAATTAAATAATATTTCATGTCAGTAACAGAATGTGCAGACCCGAACCAAGGCTACGAAAAGGACCGGAGAAGTGATAAAATTTGATGTCCAGTTTCAAAATTATTTGATTGAATGAAGGCAAGTGGTTGTCCTCTCCCAAAATTTGTTTTCCTCTTAAGTGATTATTATCAAGTGAGAGATGAACCGTGTCACAAATTAAACCATCAAAAGCCAAGAGCCATTTTGTCTCAGATGGGCGAAATGTACTATACTGTGATTCTTATACATATTTACTAGACAAATTTTCTTTCAAGTGTGAAATAGACTCGTGAAGAGATTAAGCTCTTCTCAATTATCTGATCTTCCCTGTATCATGTTTCAGTAATCCAAGAAAAGCACATTGGCTTTGCATAGTCATCAGAGTGTTCTGATTGGCAATCTTTGTGAAATGTGGGATATGTTGCACAGCTGTATTATGGAGGTTTACATGTAGTTGGAAAACAACCAACAATTAAAAAAAAAAAAAAAAAAGAGCACTTCTCCAGAAGTTGAAGAAGAAAGATACAGATCATAAAACTCACAGTGAACAATAACATCTTGAGGATACTTCTTGAGAAGTTGTTTTGCAGCATATCTCCAGTTCTCAGCACTGTAGACATAGAAGAACAATAAAGACCAAACGTAAGTGCGGATGCACATGGTAAGCCTCCGCTAGTGCTCTGAACGGCCAGTTAGATAATTGAACCGCATACAACTGTAAAGCATAACTTGTTGGTAGTTAATAATACAAGACAGAAGTTTCATGAGCTTCAAGCAACCGGAGGGATAGTTAACTACCTACATATACATATAATAAGTTCCTTTAAAAGAAATCAATTAACAGAATATTCTATCAGTTTCAGCGACAGAGCATCCCAGTGATGAAGTTATCTAGAGTTCTTCTAAAAACCTACTCTATTTCTGTCTACCATAAATATGAGCTCAATGAACGAGATTCCAACGATTCCACTTCTAATCGTGCATTGGCATTAAGCAAAGACTACGTTTTCATTTTTCCTTCTTATGTGCCTAGTTAGAATACCAGAGGTATAATGAAAATCATGCAGAAGAAAAGTTAATGTCATTGCGCCTCAAGCTCGGCAGTTACGTAACTATGTGTGATAAGTATGTGAAGATCTATATAAATACGGAGAGTAAGAAAAATCAACTGATTAACATTTTGCAGAATCCCATCCACGAAAAAAAAAATCGCAGACTCGCATTTGAACAATTCGACAACGACGTCGTAGAAAAGTAGGTTCGAGAGTCAAAATGATTGCCGCCTGCAATCAGCATAGATTCACACACTAACCAGCCAATGATCCCGTTTACCGTAACAACCAGATGAGTCGGCCGGCGATTTGCGTCTGCGAAAGCAGACTCCATATCGAAATTTCCATCGCCGGCGATCGTCTCGACGGTCGGAACACCAAAATCCGACCTGAAACATCCAAATTTGGAAATAAACGAAGCCTTCTTCTCTTCTTCGTCTTGTTGTCTCTGTTTTTATTGGCCTGCGCAGAATCCATATCTAATATCTTTTCTTCGACTTCCCCAGAGGGTATTGCAAATGAAATACTGCGTAATATGCAGTAAGAGAGGGCTAGAGAGAGAGAGAGAGACGTCAGTCAAATGAAGGGGTCAGCTTGGAATGGCCTGCTTTGGTCGGTTTTTGTAGTTGTTGGTCAGGGAGACTTTTTTTATTTTTAGTTTTGGTAACTGGAAGAAATAGAGACTTTCCTCGAGCGTCGTTAACGACTGGGACCGGGAAGCCCACCGAAGCCGGTACACGGAGGTACCGTCCCTCTAGAACTCCTTTCTTCCGGCAATTTGGACCCACTCCGTTGAGGACTCAACAATTCCAAACAGCCTCTCGGGTTTGTGGTATTTACACGTTTGCTCGCTCCGCTGTTTTGTTGTGTCGCTGTCCCATTTCTCAATTGTCAACGGTTGGGGTTGTTAGGTTTCTTAAAAATTATTTAATTGTTTTGTAGTTGATTCAGTTAAAGTGATGTTTGGCATTACAATTTTTTTATATTTAAATATTTTTTGGTGGCATAAAAAACTATATAAAATTGATTTTTATAAAAAAAATACTTTAAGACTAAGCTTTTCGTGACTAAATATTCCTCAAGTTAAAAACTTTGAAATACCAACAATTAGGAAAAAAAAGATTATGAAGGCAAAATATATATATACATACATTATATATATATAGACACACACACACACACCCCTAATCAATTGTAATACATTTAAACTACAATATTTTTAGTTTTTAATTACTTTTTTAGACAAGAATACTTTGATTTCTTTCTTAAATTGACTTGCTAATTTTGTTTTATTTTTCTAAATTTGGCTCTATAGAATAGGATGATTAATTTTTTAATAAAATCATATCTTTTCACATGTGACAAAAATGGGTTTCATACGCAAAAATTTTAAATTTCATAATTTACATTCTTATTTTGTCCTATATTTTTTAAAACCCAAATAAAGTCTCAAACTTCCCAAAATAAACCCTAATTTTATAACATTAAATAAAATAATTTTGTATTGGGGGAGAAATTTTGAAAGTAGTAAAAGCTCCTAAAAAATTAAATTTATTCATGCAACAAAAAATTTACATTTCTAAAAAAATGCATAAATAGAACCATAATCCCATGCATCTGGCATACATCATCAATAAAAAATATATTTATTGAAAAAAAAAATCATAAATTCCCACTTACTAAGCTAAAATGATTTCATCAAATAAAATGGAGCATATTATATAGGATGGTGCTGATAAGTGATTTCCATCTTGGTATTTTTCTTTAAAAAAAAAGTTATTAATTATTCATATTTATTTTTGTGCATAGTTAAATTAAAAAATATATATAATTGCATGGTGCCAATGATGAGATGAGGACCACCGTATTATTTATTCCGGTCATAGATTCATACCTTTTATTATTAACCCGTCCATTTGGTTTGACTACAGAAAAGAGATAGATGGGTCCGCGGCTCGGGCTCCGGCAGCTTTGTCAGCCGTCACAGCGCAGCGGTGGGACTGCCAAAGCTTTGTCTGAATTGACCAATTCAAATCGTTCTTCAAGTTTATTATTGAAATAATTTATTTATTTTTCTTTTTTATTTGAGAATACTTAATGCTTATCACACAATGGTTTATGCTGAATATTTAATTATTGAGATAAAAATGATTTTATACTACAGTTATTTTTTTATGCATGTCAGCTTCTCTATAGTATAAATAAAAATTTCATAAAAAGTCATTTTTTATGTTATTCAAAATTTATGATGCCAAATATTTCTTAAAATAATGAAACTTTTCCTCCGTATGTACACTATTACGTGTGCCAAATAAATTAAGTTTATATTTATTTTTTATTAAAACTGTTAACAGTTATATTTAAATCAAATTAAATAAATTTAATTTTAAATCTAATTAAATATTTTTATATTTCAAACTAATATAAAATCTTAAATAAATAATGTTCGTTAAACTATATTGAATATAATGAAAAATTTGAAATTTGATATAAAAATTCAATTTAACATGAAAATAATACTTTTTACGTTAAAATCTCTTGACTTTATTTCATTATCCATGTTATCATGAATTTTCATATTTTTTCAATTTAAACATTATAATTTAAATTATAATTTTTGATTCTCTTATTTCCTATTAGAGATATTTGAAGAATTAATTAACTTTTAATTGTGAAAAAAAGGTTACCATTGCTGCCACTTGTTGGTGAAAAATGCGTACAACTAAGGAGTTTCGTTTTAAGAGATAAGATAAAGGCTGATAGGGTAGATAAGATAAAATTAATCCTAGGTAACTATATTTTTATCACACGTTCGGTTGTCATAATAATAATTTGGATAACAAATCAGATAATAAAATAATTTACCAATTTGCCCCTAGTATCTTTCCTCTCCAACCACAGCAACTGGGCCCGTGGATCCAACCACCTTCCTCTTTGGCAACTGCAAGGCCTGTGTTCGTAGGCGCTGAAGCCTGCATTCTCTCACGTAGATGCCAGAGCTTATGTCACGCGAGCGCCTGCTCTCATTAGCGCCCACAAATTGGACACCTACGTGAACAAGCGTAGAACCTACGTTCTCTCACGCAAGCGCCCACAAATCGACCCCCCCACGTGAGCTCCGGTGCCTACTCATACAGGTGCCCACAACAGTGAGAGGTTTCGCGCAGAGGAGAGGCCAGCAGTGGATTGCAGAGCAGAGGGTTCACAGTGGCAAAATTATCAAAAAAAAATTTACACACATGAAAAAATTTATCCCACCTATTATCCCAGGATAAATTTATACGCTCCTGTTGATAAGATGCTTGCCTGAATTGATTTATATATGTACTATTACACGTATAACAAACAAGTGATAAAAGAAAATAAGACAAATAATTTTATCTTTATTAATCTTATTTCTCAAGTAAAAGGGCTCTAAATATTTATTTTATTACGTACAAAACGCCCCCTTGTGTATTGTTACTTCTACGAAATATGAGCGCGCCTGACAAACTCTCGTCCTCGAATACTTATTTTTATAAACAAAAATATTTGCCTATGTATATTTATTTTTTTACACACCAAACACCCCATCTTTGTGTGTAACACGGTTGCGCTGACAAACTCTTATCCACTAATATTTGTTTTATAACCAAAATTATTTGTCTTTGTACATGAATTTTATTGCACACCAAACACCCCCTTATCCAGCTGTTTTCCAGATCGTGTACTTCCAGAAGCTACTCGATCATGCCTTGGCCTACGCTCCCCGTCTCCTACTTTTATTAAACGTGAACCACCCGCCGCCACCCCAACAAAAAAAAAAATATATATATATATATATATTTTTTTTTTTCTCTTTATTTGAATTCTAAGAAAGGATAAAGACTCACCTGGTTATTTTCGGAAATAGAGAAGTAGTTATATTTTTTGTTTTTTATATGTATTAAATGTGTAATTTTTTTAAAAAATTTAAATAAATATATGCAATTAATTAATACTGTTTGGAGTTTTAAATCATAAAAAGTAGCTTTTTTCTTGATCAAATTAGGAAGAAAATGGAACCCAAATTAGAAATTAAAAACGAGTTGACTGTAAAAAAAATTGTTAGAAATGAGTATAGGATGTGCCGTGGATTGTCAACAATTGATGTCTGTTGACTAAAATTCGAAGTTCTTACCAACATCAGATCCTTTCCACCTTCATTTTTCACACTGCGGATGTTAATTTAAATAAAATATTTTATAGTTTATGTCATTTATATTATTATGTAAGAGTTTAGTTCAATCAAACAACACTTAACGACAATAATAATATATATTTTGAAAAATAACGAGAGGGATTGGGAGAGTAATAAATTTTTTAAATATTTTTTTATGAATAAGTTTTTTCCTTTTTAAAAAAGTACGTATTTTTTAATTTTAAACTTTATTTTATTTAAATATATTTTTCTTAAATTTAAACCTCACATTTTAGAATTATTTTTCTAAATTTATTTCACCTTAACTCATTTTTAAAACTTGCTGCCAAAGGAGACCAGATCCGGGACAGTGTTAATTTAAATAACCAAGGGCTCGTTTCATTCTAAATTAAAATAAATTTAAAAAATTTGAATTTAAATAAAATTTGTTTAAAAAAAGTATTTAGATAGATTAGATTTGATCATTTCATTAGAGGTTTAAGTGGGAATAAAATAAGAGAATTGGGAAAAATTGAGTTTAAATAAAATAAATTTAGATAGGATGAATTTGATTATTTATTTATAGAAAATTTAGTCAAAATTTATTTAAATATACACTATTATGTATACCTAATAAATTAAATTTATATTTGTTTTTTTTATTAGCTCTGTTAATAATCATATTTAGGTCAAATTAAATAAATTTGAATTTAAATTAAATTAAACATTTTTATATTTCAAATTAATCTAAAATTTTAAATAAATAATATTCATTAAACTATATTGAATATAATAAATAAT